CTTGCGACTACTCTGCTTGACCCTGCCATCTGATGGCAAGCGATTTAACCTCCTTCTACTCTACGCGGCTAGGCCATAATTTCGTGTTGCCGTGCTGAAATGAGCCAAGAGGCTGCTTCGGATTTGCTTTTTTGAGAGCGGCTGTTGGTTTTGCGGGCGAATAGTGTACCACTCCTCCGTGGTGTGCGGTTGGCGCCACGGTTGATGAAGGAATTGTGGCTCGAGGAATGGCAAAGGTATGACATAAAGTGCGCGAACTGGGTGCCGGTTGTCTCCGTTTAACATCGCAGTGCTGACGATGAGAAGACTGCATGCTTTCGAAACGTAAGCTTCTTTACCTGCAGGGGGAAGCCGGCCTCGGAAATAAATAAAGTTCACGGAAAGCTCGTGTTACGTTTTTATTTGCTGCTCCTCTCGCTCTGTACAATAAACTTAGTGTTCTCGTTAAGCCTTATCGAGCTCAATTTGCTCGATTCGTGGCCGCCATGATGAGATGCAGGCGACGGAGGAACTTTTGCTCCCCTGCTTTAGGGACGAAAGTTTCTCCCTTTCTGAAGGAACATATGTATCAAGAGGGTTCCTCTATTTAGGGAGGACTATACAGACCCTTTTTTCTAAGAGTAGTTGCCTGGGCTACACGCTTCGGCGTCTGCGGCAAATACCGTTTTAAAACAAGAGTTTAAAGAAATGGGTTTTTGCACGTTTGTTTGGCAAAGCCATGTTTCAATTAATCGAACACTTCGTTTGAGATGAAACAAGCGCTTGTGGTGCGAGTACCGTACTTACACCCCCCCACTTTTATTTTGGGCTTTCGGGTAATTTGGTAAAACAATCTATTGCACAACACGCAAGATACAAAGTACCAATGACGCAGGACCACAACAGTGTAGTGGGTGGTCCTGTTTTACGATTCGCACTGATTATATGAGAGACAGTAGGAGACTGAACACAAAATTATGACATTTTAACACTGAAATAGGGTACAATAGTTGACGTAGAAAATAAGTAATGCGTATCTGGGGAAGGGCTTAAGATATATACATAGTTTGCACGTAACTTCAACCAAGGTTTAAAATATAATGGTGCGTCCCAGAAAGACGAAACCAAGAGAATAAGTTTGTTGATTTTTTGGACGAAGTCCGGCATTTTTAATTTATATTTCGCAATGAAATACTTATTGAAGACCAGTAAACTAACTTTTGAAGTATTCTACTTCGTGCAAAACTTCCAATAACAAAGTTGAACAGCATCCTCTAAAACATCACATCCAATTATGTGGTGGTTATCAAGAAACCTCCAACACGCTTCATTTTCTGGGCTTTAAAGAGGTCCGCGAATTACGAAATACAGCACAATGACCGCGCCCTCGCCTGGTATTGTAGCGTCCTCTAACGTGGTTAGAACGGATTAAGTCTGCCAGCTGCCCGAGCTCACTGCCGCCTCAAAAGACAAAATAAAAAAAATAAAAAATAACAAAACGAGCTGTGATAATGACGCCCACATTATTTTTTTGCTCAGTGGCGGTAGCTACAATAGATCAGATGCAAAATTCGCAGGGCCATCTAATGGGGTGCAGCAGAACATGCTCCTTGTCACCAGTTGGCTTCGGCGCTGGCAAAGGCCAGGGCGCAAAAGCGTACTACAAAAAGAATCCTTCGCTCGTACAATCACTCCCGCAGAAAAAGCGCTTTCGAAAATCAGGCGCCCTCGCGCGTGTCTTTGCCGACACTCAAAGCCAAATTTCGAGCTGAAGTGCACGTCCGCCATGTTTGTTGTGGCGAGAAACCAGCCCCCGGCTGGGCAACGAGCACGTACAGCCCCTGCAATATGAAAGACCCACTGGGAGCGCGTGGCTGAGGCGGTGGCTGGCGGGGGCGCTGCGAGCGTCCCGGGTGATTCCATTCTGCTTTGGGTGGAGGACGCTCAAAACCGAAAGCAGAAACTGATTAGCGCGTTGCGCTTTAGCTGAGCACCAAATGAACCTCCTCCTCTCGAAGGTGAATGGAACTGCCTGGAGCGCTCGCAGCGCCCCCGCCAGCCACAGCCTCGGCCACGCGCTCCCAGTGGGTCTTTCATATTGAAGGGGACTGTACATGCGCAAGAAGAGCGTAAAACAGTACTAACCCTTAGCTCGCAGGTGCGGGTGAGCATCGATGCCGGTGAACACTAGGCCTCGATTGTTACCGTCAACGCTACGAAATTGACAAACAACAAAGGAATCTCGACGGAACAAAGATGACAGTGCACATAGTGTGGCCAGACGATCAAAAAATTTCGCATATGGTCTGTTATTCGTTATACTTGGTATAGTATTACTCCCGTATGTTTCCGATGTTACGAGCTCATGAGACAATCAGACAGCTAAAAAACACTACGGCATGACGTGCTCTTTCCAGCTGAGAGGAACAGCCAGTGTTCCGAGTCTTTTTCTGCGTGCGTATCTGTCAGCTCGTCCTAGCAAGCGCAGAGAGCACGGCATGACGTAGCACTTTCTGCGGTGTTTGATTGGCCCTTCGGCTGGTATTATGGCTGCACTCGGGTGCAATGTGAAAAAGTATAATGATGGGCAAGTGAGTTTCGAAAGTGGTGAATATTGCAGCAATTTCACACAGTTAAGTTTTAAAACAATTGTACAATGTATAACTGGATACCTTCGGCAATCAATTTAGGTAGTTTGTTAAAACATCAACGTCCGTTTCGTCTCTTCTGTACTGTGCAATTAAGCTTGCATTTTATTTTATACACTTAATTGCTGCTAATTTTCCAGTTAAATGTTTACCACGACAGGTATTTATAGCTTTATTTACGGCTCACTTGCATAAATGTGTTCAGCTGGTAATTTTGTAAATAATGTTTTGTGCGTTATACACTTTAAAATGAAGGCTAAACACAATTTTAAAGTCATATCAGACGGCTGCAAAGGCCACTAGAACTATCTGAGGTAATGTTGGTCAAGTTTTCAGCAGCACTGGAGCTTCTTTGATGCACAAATAACCTAAATAGCTCCAGTAAAGACAAGCGTCATTTAAAGCACTTCCCTGGTGCCAGCTGCAAAGCATCCCATCTTGCACTTACGTTGCAAATAGGTTTAAAAAAAAATGCATTGCTGGTCGCACACGCCACATATGTACGTGCTCTCAGGTTTACCGGAACGATCCCGACAAGTTACAATTTATTCAATGGCGGAGTGCCTTGACTTGTTAGTGCTTGTTTGCAACGAGCCCCTCTGCTTTTCTGAAGTAGTCGTGGGGGAAGGTTTACTTAAAACCCTTGATAAAATGCACGCCTAGCCTTTCATCCGACTCAAAAAAAAAAAAAAAAAAAATTCTTCTGGAAGCGCGCCAGACACGTGCATTGAGTGAGTGCGTCGACGCCATTCGCTCCTCGGGCGCTCATTTTAAGTGCTGTGACGTTATTCGCTTCCAATAGCTGAACAAGGCGTGTACCTTATGTTGCTGCGGATCCTGACAGTCCTTGCAAAACAAACGGAAACATATCAATTGGCTTTATATTTACTGCGCCCGCTACACTATGTATTGACTGCTACCCCAAGTAATGGCGCCATACGCCCGCTGAGATATATTTTGCTGCGTTACGATCACCGCTTGATATTTAAAATCTCGTGGAGAGCAAAGATTGGTCATTCAGAATTGACTAGCTTGTGCCGACGTTAACATGCTTAAGCAGGTTCTTCTAAGTCATACTTTGTCCTGCTGCTTGTCCGCCCTGGCATCCATAGTCCGGTGCCAAGCAAAGTTATCGGGGTATTAATGACACAGTCCGGAGGTTCAATTTCCACTCAGTAGCGTGGTAAATATCGCTTGATAAAGTTAGTTCTGTCGAATTATGGTGGGCCATGTCTAATTAAAACGAAGTATGCTTGTGCGTGCATGACGTGCGTTGTCTCCTATGGGATAAGTATGCTTTAGTTTTATTTGGTCGGTGTACAGTGTTTTTGTCACACTCGAGCGTAACAGTTTTTGCATGAAATCCAACCCATAAGCACATGATGGGTTAAAGATACGAGGCATGATCAAATAAAAATGTTGGTTCCGCTTCAGGTTGACTAGACTGCGAGAAGCTTTATGACGTCGCAATTATTGTGACACGCGCAGACAAAAATGGAAGCGAGAAAGCGTTCATTCCGCTCACATGTCTGGTTTCGATGACACCATCGACAAGATGAACGGTGTGTCTGGGAATCGGGCAAAGGTGAGTAAGCAAGCTATGACTCAGCTCCTAACAATAAAATGGTTTTGATCAGTGGACATTCACGACAATATTAAGGTGGTGTATGGTGACAGAATGTGCCTGGAATAACACAATAACTGATTAGACGCAAATGTTTGCGGAACGAGAGGGAAACGCCGCATCTCCAACAATAAAACGCCTGTCTTCATGCATATAAAAAAAAATATTTTAAAGAACCCTCTTGTGTTCTTCCTTCCCTCTCGGCTGTTTTCCTTAATTATTCCCTACATGCTGAGTCACGTCTTCGCTCGCCTTACTAAATCACATGAACAGGTTTTATTGGATCACGCCTTATTCATACCTCCTTCCGCCAACCGTATTCGGTAGCTGCTAAAGGTTTACGCCGCTTTATGTCCTTTTCAACTATTAGTGATCTCCGCGAACGTTATTCGCTTAGTTCAGGCAGAATAGCATATCTCTGGAACAGCTTCGTCCCAGGTTCAATCTCCGTCGGAAGTGTTTTTGTATCTGTACTTTCGAGTGACCCCATGTAGGCTTATACGCTTGATATAATGCTAACCTACGTTTAAAAAAATCGGTCGTGATGATCGAGAGATTTTTTTTTCGTAGAAAATTACAATATTTTTTAACGAGAAGTAAAAGGAGGACAACACAGCGATCGAAACAGATATCTCAAATGGACAACCCCATGACACAATCAAATAAGTTATCCATTTTATACCGTAAAACCTACATAACACCCTTAAACATTAAAACAAATTTTGTGTTAAAACGGATAGGCTGCTCACCCTCTTATGTGACATGTCCACGACCGGCTTCATGTATTTGATGAAAGCTTCGTCTGCTGATGGCTTGATGTATAGGTTGCAATACTGTCCCCTGGCGGTCTCCTGGCCGTAGGTGTCATACACCACGGTCTCGATGCATTCGTCAAAGGCTCCAGGATCTGCCTGTGTTCCCTGCAGCATGCCCGTTGGGTACTTGCCACTTGCATCGATCACTGCGAGAACGGACAGGCGGCAGCGTGAGAGAAATCTCACTTTACCGCCAGGGATATACATACCTGTGTCCGGAGACAACTGAAAGGTTTGTTTCCTTAAAATTTATTTCTGCTAAAGCAATGTTTCCCCATTGGCGAGGGGGAGGGGTGGAGGGGGTGAGGTCACGAAGGGGCTAGGGAATTTGCAACAATTTGCATTATCTTTCTCTGTTGTGGCTTGCCAAAAACAAAGGGCGAGTTGCAGCTCCAAATCAAGCTGGAACTAAGAGTTGTGGTGTCCAAACTGCGTATTAGTTTCGAAAAACTATGCTCATTTTAGTCAAGCTTTTTTGTTTTCTTTTGGCGTTATTCATTTTTCCTATTCCATAAATAATATATCAGCAATTTGTTTGAAACTTTGTGTACCTGTTCCTGAATTTAATTCTAAAACGATTCGCAATGCGAAAAATGTGTGTGAGTGTGTGTGTGTGGGGGGGGGGGATGGGGAGAAAGATGGTATTTTTTTAAAATATCGATGGTCCGCAGGTGCAGAGTTTGGAAAGCACTTCACTAAAAATTATTTTGTTAAATGGACATTAAGGATGAAATATGACAATTTTTAATCGCCTGCATTGTCCTCGTATGATATGAGATGAACCCGCACCTAATTAAATCTACCCAAAAAGGCAAAAATACAGCAGTATTTGCGTCGCGAAACTCACGTGAGCGATTTAGAAAAGATGGGTCTATTTCAGGGAGCAATTTTTCGAAATAAAAGACATTATTTATTTGCGCTTAGCACCAAATGCAACTCTCGGCGTAAATACTGCGCTAATATGTTTTTATTTCGCGAATGGTTACGATGTGGCATGCGTTTCCTATACAAAAACTTATAATTTTTTTTCTTTTATATAGTGTAGTTTTTTATAAGGTTATCTCACATGATCGAAAACCGTCAACATTACAACCGGTGTTTCTTTTTTTGGGGGCTTACCAATTGCATTTGAAACCGAATCTAGAAATATTATTTCATAATTATCCAAATTTATGAAATCATAGTGTTCTCCCCACTAAAAAAAAAACGGTATAACTTTGCGCTATTTGAACTACGGAACTGGAAATTTATCTGAATTTTCTCTGAATATGAGTTTTTTTTTAATGATTCTTTTAACTTCAATTTTGATTTCCGGTTTCCACAAACAATTCCAGTTAGATTTCTAGTATCGCGATCCAGATAGTGAAAAGTTATATTGCGTTTTTCGGTAGGGATTGCAATGTTAATTTTACTAGCAGGTGAAATAGGCATGTAAATGGTATACGAATGTTTTCTAAGAGCCTTTCATGTCACTACTTCAAATCTTTGAATGTAGGCTGGCACAAGTACAAAATAATTGACGATAATAATCCTTGGAAAAGGGGAAAAAGGAGGACAAATGGCAAACATATTCCTCCAAACACGCTAGGTCACTGGTGCGCGACCGAAAAAAATTCACCCGGTACAGATATCAAACCAGGGACCTGTCTATTTCCAGTGGAGTGCTCTAACAATGCAGCTAAACAGGAGTTAGGGGTCAGTAGAGCAAATGTGTTCTATCAGCTGTCAGAAAGCTGTTTGGTCATACGATTGTGGAAACGCTATAGAAAATTGGTTTAAGATAGTAAAGGAACGCATTTGCACTCTGTAATGTGTAATGCGAAGTGTCCTGAGCTGAGTTAGTGCATAACGCTTTGTGATCTTACATTTCCGCAGCGGCAAGATTGTGCAACATACAGTTTCTGGAGTAAAACAGGATCTCAGATACGATCCCTACTCAGCAGTTTACATGGCTATTGGTATGTTGAACCTTGTATTGTTCTTCACGTTCTTTCAATAAGATTCTCTAAGGACGCAATATCTTTAGTTTATCAGCCGCTGATAATTTAACCTGTATCTTACACTCGGAGGCTTCCTTCTTAAGTTCTGGGATACTTTATGGATGTTAGGTGCAATCGCAGGCCGACGCATCCTGTCAATATTTCTTCGTTCAGTTCCACTTTGTGTTCACATGCGTTCAACTGTTAAAGATACTAACGAGCTGGAATACCTAGATTCTTTTAACATTTGAGCTTGTGCATCAAACTGGTCCTTGCTGTGTTGACATAACGTAAACAATGCCACTTTTAAGCAGCTGTCCACTATTCCCTTTTTGATTAGCTTAAAATGGTCCGGGTCATATGAAAGAAAGCGTTTTTGAGTGCGTGGTGAGTTGGTGCAAGATGCATGATTTTCTTGGAAGGATACCTAGAGGTTCCGAAACTGTAGCTTGCTGTTGGTTAGTTATTAATGTGTGAAGTTTAGTGTCTGTACTTGTGCCGCTAAGGATGTACGTAAGTTGTTAACGGTTGCCAAGCCACTTAGTTCAGGCTGTTCGAAAAGCAGAACTAAATATTTGTCTACGTACATGAAGACAAGTGACACTACGTTGGTGGATAGGTTTTTGGCTATGTTCTGGTCCCATTAAGCTAAATATGTTTCCCATAAATCAACATCAACAGACAAGGCTATGTACGTTTCCGTCGTTTGTATGTATATATTGTTCTTGAATGTGACCACTATAGATGAAATGTAGAATTCTGGTATTTCAGGAGTTCGATGAATGGGTGTACAATGTACAACCGTGATTTTGCAAAGACACTATTCAACTGGCTTCGATGCAATCGTTGACCGCTTCGAAGAGTTTGGTGGGCGGGACTGAATAGAATGGCTCTGCTATGCCTAGAAAAAAAATTACAGCCAAGGTATTTTGTTTTAGATAATATATCATTAATTCTGAATCCGTTACCTTGAAAGGGAATTAAGGTCAATTTTTTTAAAGTAAATTAAAATGTTCCGAGACATTGTACTCTGCCATGTTCTTCCCTCAGTCACCACAAATCTAAAATGATAACCTTCTTCGTGGTTTTGGCTGTAAAAATACATTTGCAGTATTTTTTAGCCTTGGCAACTGCGATCTGTTTTCAAAACGTGTCGAAATACAATGTTTTTCACATTTGAAAAGCCTTGGACTGTCATATTAAAAATGGAAACCCGCAACCTGTTGAAATTATTTTTAGAGAAAAAGCTGCCTCCTCGATGTAAATATATCTTGGTGCAGCTACAAAACCTTTTATTTTGTCATAAGTTAAAATATTTATCTTTACTTTTGTTAAATGGGTTAAAATATGTGTTATATTTATAGTTTTCGCGCTTTTTGGACATTTGTTTTCAGCAGCCTTTATGCACACTCATCGATGCTCCTAGGCCTATCATAATCTTGGGTTTTAGTAGCAATTACTGTAACATAAAAGGGACAGGAGAGAACAATGTCTACTCACAAATGGAGCTTTTTAGAGAAAGACGTGAGAGAAGCGTGGAATGCGATTTAAAATTTACAAAAATGAATGAAAATGAAAAAAGAGTAATGTTGCGGATTGTTGTGTAATGATGAAAAAAGGAAATTAAAATATAATATAAATATTTCAGAAGAAATAAATAAAAAAGGAATAAATAAAAAAAGACAAAAAATTGAGATAAATAGAAAAAAAAAGCTTAAAGAGGACAGAAATAATTAAGAAAAGAGGTTGAGGAATATCAGCTTTCTCACTCGGTGCAGCTGACGGTGTGTTGCAGACAGCCTGCTATCATCATCATCTAAGGCGCCATCAAGCCACGAGCACGGGCTCGCGTGTCTCGCCGTCGAGTTTTCGGAACTAGATGTCCTGACGGCCGCACATGCTTAGATTATGATCCTCATAAATAAATATATTGACCCCTGATGACCAGCGGCAACTCCAAAGACCGAGGCGTGGTGGACACCAGTAGCCACCGCATTCATGGCCCTGGGACATTCGACTCCAACAAAGAAGTATAGAAGTTCAACAAGAGAAGATACTAAGTTTGCTTGAAAATCGCGGAGACAACGGCCGACGTCGACAAGAATAATTGATTGATAGCTTTACTTAGGTGGAAAACGGTTCAGCTGCTTAGGTCGACGGCGGTTCAGCGCATCAAGACGAGCCAAAAAACGTGAAAGACCTCCTGGCAGGATTGAGGTATAGTTTTGCGACTTGCGAATATGAGACTGGAACGAACGCTAGAAGCTGTTCAATTTTGACGCCATTCTTTGTTGGTCTACATGAAAGACGCACCCGGGCACGTTTAGTGATAGAGAGGGACCTGACGCTAGACACTGTTCTGCTGCTAGCCGAGACCTGCCTCAGGGCTGAAGCGGAGTCTCGCCAGCTGAATTGTCCAGATAAAAATGTGCTGCACATAGAAAGAGTGAAGCATCCTTCTTCTGGCCAAGCCAAGTGCTTCCGGTGCGACAACCACGACCGCATGAAGTCGGCTTGACGATGTCGGATTGAATCCTGCTACAACTGCGGCAAGTAAGGACACGTCACGAAGATTTGCCGCTCTAGCGACCACGAGAAACACCGAGGAAATCGCAAGCGGGTCGTAAAAATCGTTACAAGCGTGTTCGCTACTCGCAATATAGAGGCGAATTCGTCACCTGTCTCGTCCAAGGGATTCCCGTTAATATGTAAGTGGACACTGGCTCTATGTTGGTGACACTGTATATCGACACTTGGGAGAAGCTAGGAGTTCCGCGACCCGAGCAAAGTGAGTGCAAACTGTGTTGCTTCAACAACCAGAGGATTCTTCTTAATGGGCAATCTGTTTTCAGCGTCACACTAGGCCATCGGACATCTGCGTTGGAAGCCCTGGTGGCATAAAAGAGACACACGAACTTGCTTGAAAGGACGTGGATGGACAAGCTCAAGATGGATTTGAACAGACTATTTGTTAGATCGGTTGAACTGACTTCACGCGTCACGCTAGAGTCAATTTTTATGCGATTCTCTGGCGGGTTCCCTGATAGTCTTGGCTGCTCGCGAAGCTGAAGTTCCAGCTACAGTTAGAACTTATGCAAGTCTACTGTTCTTCAAGCCGAGACCTATTCCGTTCACAACACATGCGGCGCTAGGAAAATATCTTCATA